TTATATGGGCCCCTACCTGTTTCCTGGGTACTAACTGTTGGCCCTTGATTGGGCCTAACTATAGGGGTTGAAAGGGCATATTTTTGATGGACCGCCACTGTAATAGTGGCAAGATGAGACAAGGGTGAATATATACGAGTCCTCTTATTTTCCGGTTATACCCTTTTTAAACCAAACACCCCACACCCCCTAAATGCAGGGTGGGGGGGGGTCCACCTAAGGCATATGATAGGTCTACAACCCACCAGGATTGCCCATGCTAAGGGCCCATAGTTAAAGCTTAGAGAGGTTTCTGGGAGTTTCCTCAATTCAGGGGTACCTTAAAAGGGGAATATAGGGGTTTTATTTTATAGGTATACATAGGGCTTGGGGCTTAGGGGTTGCTAAAATACGGGGTGCCACCACATTCGTTCATACTGTAGGAGTGCATGGGCTGCACGATTCTAGTCTTGTTAGGGTGTAGGGTCTAGTGTTTGCTCTGGTTTTTGCCCCGGGGGGGGGGGCGGGGGTGGGTGGATCAGGGTTGTAACCCTCGTGCTGGTTGTCCCTAAACCCTAAACCCTGATCAGGGTTGTGATCCTAAACCCTGAACCCCAAAGCTTTTGGACCAACGATCTGTCCCGCACTCCGGCAGTCCCTAAACCCTAAGTCCCCAACATGCAAACTACCATGGTTATCGGTTAGGTGGACCCCCAAGCCAGTAATAGTGGTTAGTGTTAGGATAGTAAGGATTATATTAGGGACCTCTCATATTTCTAGTATACCACTGTTGCAGGGTGGGGAGTCCTCCTAAGTTATCGGCCTCCTTGAAAGGCCAGCAGTCTTTGAAGAGCCCCTTGAAGGCTCCATCCTTTTTTGGCCACCCCAAATCCTAAGTGATGTGCACTTTTTTTGTACCCTAAACCGTACGAACCCTAGAACGAAAAATCTCATAAGTCCTCTAGAAACCCCAAGCGTTTCGCTCACCGTGTCTCAGGCCAGATCATTTGAAGTGCCACAAAGAAGTGGAAGTCCTTGAAGATGAACCAGAGCTCCTTAACAGTAATACTTATATTTATATGAATATTATTCATAATACCAATATTGATATTAATGATATGAATACTATGATAATACAATATTAATATTGATAATATTGATGTTATGTTTCGAAGTTGGGGTTGAGAGCTTGGGGTTTGGAGTTTTTTGGTTCAGGCTTAGCCTATTTGGAGTTTAGGGCCGAAATAGGGTCTGGGGTTTGGGTCGGAAGGATGGGTCGTGGCATGGCCCCTTT